TAAAAAGGATGCAAAATTGACAGCGTTGTTTCTCTAATACTAAATTTTACACAAATATGTAACCACTGTCATCTGAAAAGATAAATCTTCTAGATTTATATTCCAAAATATTTTTAAATTTGATGGTAGGCCGAATTTTGCCCTTACTGTACCTTGTTTTTTACATGCACTGAAATTCATTTTATTATCAGGTACGCTCATTCTGATGCTGTATTTAGATTTATAATTAGATGGGAAATTAAAAGAATATATTTTTAGTCCAATGGCGACGTCGTTGACAGGCTGTTATTTTGGATAAAATAATGCGAGAAAAAAAATCATTCATTACAAACTCGTGTGGGAATAGTGAAATTCCACCTTGGGGCCAAGATTGCGGTCTAGGACTCGGCAAAGCCTCGTCCTAGACTATGAATCTTGTCCCCTCGGTGGAATTTCACTATCCTACACTCGTAGTAATGAATGATTCTATTAGTATACAATAAGTATATCTCTCACAATTAATTTTGACAAAAAAGACATTGTCCACGAACTTTTTGGACAACCATTTTCTATTTAGAATATATTTTATACCTCCATTTTAGTGAAACTGTTTAAAGAATGCATGTTTTGATTATAGTCTTTAACATTCTAAACGACTTTGTAATGTATTTCTTAAACATTAAATCCAGTCTGACAAAGTGTCCAGTCCATATTTTGCCTTGCATATGTCTGTCCATGTCTTTATCAGAAATTGTAACAAAATTGTTTGATCGCCAGTTGAAAGAGAGGTTTTCCGTGCACCTTTTTTAATGAATGCTTTCAAGAAGAGATTTTAAACCACATACGCATCACCAGTAATGACGTGTTAAGAGGGATTGTGGTTAAAAGAATAGTAGGGTTAAGAACGCTTATGAGAAGTTTGAATCAGATTGTTGAAAATATAGACACTTCAACCTTAATAAGAATAAGAGAAATCAGACGAAAATGCAGGATGTAGACTTCAACGTGAAATAGGGGAAATGCAAGAGTTGACTACTTTATGAATAAGAGACAGTGTTAAAATAATTATAATGTAGAAGCATATTCTTTTGCTTAAAAGAATCAACGATTAAATCGGTATGATTATCCCCCGAAATGTGTCATACTTTATTTTTATGTATTAATAATCCTATACCCTTACATAATACAAATATCTACTGAAGAATAAAGGCAGTCATCATTAATGATAAATTATATAATTTAAAAAAACGTTGAATTTATGTTGATTATACCCATAATATCTTTGTTTCCTTAATATGCTTTGGAAATACCGTAAAGCTTTCCTTAGAGTGAAAATGGCATAATTATAGTACTTAAATAACTAACTGGAAATCAAGTATAGGGGTTTTCAGTGATGTAAACAAAAAAATACTAAAAAAAAAAAAACTTGTTTCTGATTGGTTGTCCAATTATGTTTTCCCCTTACTATTGGGATTTTTTATTGGTTAAAAATTAAAAGTCCGAGAGTTATCAGGATTTAAGGGTATAAATGATACAGAGTGTCACACAATTTTAACTTAAGCCCACGTACGATGTTGAAACAAACCATTTATTGACAGTTATTGACAGTTCTAATTGCAAATGCGGATGGTAGCAGAAAATTTGCTTCAGAAAACCTCCGAAAGCTGTTCGATGAAACAAATGCTGACGAGACCAATTTGGCAAGTGGAAACCTTAGTGAAAATGAAATAAAGAACAATCTGAAGAATGACAATGAAATTGGTAGCTAAAGCAGCAGTCAAACAAAAGAAAGCTTTGAATGAGAGGAAGAATTTTCTGAATTTGAAAGCGAATATAGCTCTGATAAACAAATGTTTGAAAATAGTGTTCAACAAAGTGACACATTTGAAAAAGAGGTAAAAGCTCAGGGAACTCAGGTAAACACCGTGGAATCGTCGTTGTTGCAATTGGATGAAATGGTAAGCAAAGCAATTCCTGGATTAAAGGTAAAACTATAATGCTCGCATTTTTTTTAAAGAATCAAAAGAAGCTTTAAAGGTACAGACATGATTGATGGTGATATAAAGTTAGATAAAGATTCTGCAGCAAATCTTGTAGCATTTTACAAGAGGAATCCCCAGTACCTACGACTTGACAACACCAAAGCGGATACACCTGTAAGGGATTATTTCATAATTCCTCTTCTTGTGCTATATTTTATTCTGAAGCAATACCATTGAACAACCTGTATATGCCTTTTGATTAATATTTACAATATTTCGAATGAAATCAATGAACAGTAATTTTTTGGCAAAGTACACATTCTTCATACATGTAGATTCATGTGAAAAATAAATAAATCATACATGGCTAATTAAAGAGTATTAAATCCTTTCATATTTTTTTTTTCAATCAGACAAATGATCACTTCTCTTCAATATTATTTTAACAAAGGCAAACATGATTTCAATAATAAAACCCGAAGAACGTTTTTTCCTCGACGAACATTTCAACATTTACATTTATTATTATTAATAACTATTGTTTATGCACAGATTTAACCCGTTATTTTGAATAACGATCGCAATATCCTATGAACAGGGTTGTTTTGAAGTTATCTTGTGTAAGATATCTCTCAGAATTAATGTTTTTTTAGTAACAGAAAGATATACATGTATTTTGATTATAATTTGCCTTTTTTTGTTTTGTTTTGCATACTAGGCATTTAGTTCATCGGACAGAAGAAAAAGAAAAGTTGGTAAAGTCGGAAAATGGAGCTTCCCAATCGAATACAAGCTACAACTTTCAAGTGAAAGTAAGGAATAAACAACACTTTTCATAGGCTTGCAAATATATTAAAAGTGCAAACATCCTTCATTTTTGATATGTATACCCGAAGAAAAAGTAAATCGAAAATGCATGAAATGAAATTTTATCTAGCTTTCTCTGAAGTCTATATATAAGAAGCATATTACATACAAAAGTGCGACCATATATATTTCAAATCAGCCCTATAACTGATAGGATTATTTGGAAAGGTTATACGATGTTTTATTTTAGTATATATTCTATTAATTAAAAATATTTAAAATACTTTGTAATGCGAGATAACATTATTTTCATTATAAAATGTTTTGTGCTTTTTATATTACATTTCTCTTTAGCTATAAATCTAAAAGAAAAATTTTGAAAAACGGAAAAAAAATTAAGACCACAAATCAGTCATCAATTTTAGAATTACACTTTTTATACTTTATCATGTGATATTTAAATAGAAATCAACAAAGTTAATGTATTTAACGAAACTTTATCAGACAAAGAGTAAATTTAGCATGATGTAAAGATTAGAGGAAGAAATATTGGATATTTTAATGTATTATCATTTTTCAACTTTCACCATTTATTGGCTATACCAGGAACGTTCAATAAATAATGTCATCGGGGCTCGGAAAGGAACAAGAAACGTTTGTCTATGATTTCGTCTTTATGATTTAAGTAAAATATTCTCATTTAATTAAAAAAGATGTCCGTAACATTTTTATCCAATTATAAAATGATAAAGAACAATTTTATACCAATTGATAGGCTATAATTGTTTTATTTTATTATTGTTAATTAGAAATTCATGTTTCTAATGCTAATTAAATTTTATACTGATATATCACATTATATGCAAAAATATCGGTACGATCGGCCTGATATATATCTCCTTGGATGAGAAAAATTCAAATTATATGAAAGTTATAGTGATTATTCTTTGCGTTGCACAGATGAAATTTAATACAGTATATATCACTGAATTTAGGTCAAGTTGTAGGTTTTGGTACGTTCGTCCATTTTTTTAGTTATGCCCCTTGGACTTAGAAAAATTCCAAATATTTGCAGTTGTTTCCACGTTTTATTCACAACTTTATCACGTGACCCAGTTAAGACTATAAGATAAAGATACACATGTAGTTGGCAACAATAGAGAAAAAAATAATATATGGAGATAATGAAAAGTATTGAAGTTCAGACATAGATGAAATTTAGCATGATATAAAGATTAAAGGATGAAAGGATGGATATTTTAATATATTTTTATTTTTCAACTTTCACCATTTATTGGCTATAATTGGGACAAAATATAAATGGTACATTTTTCCTTAATTTATTTTTTGCAAATCTAAAGCAACGATTAAATAGCTATAGAATAAAAGTTTTGGCCGGGGAACAAAGATGCAAGTATATTAATAGGAGGGTTGTCCCAAAAAGTCGTAGACAATATTTATAACTTTTTTTAACATGCAACTTATGCTAAGCAAATTTTGCATACGCATAGTATATTCATTTTTCTTTAAAATTTTGAATTCTTAAACATATATCTTTCATATTAATAATATCGGGACGATTTATATGAACACCGATATGGTCTGTCAATGCACAAACAAAATCCAGAATAATTTACGCATATCACTATTACATTTGCTTTAATTTCTTTGGTACTATGTTAAACATTGAACTCAAATTTAATTAAGTGAAACCAGAAACAAAATCTTAATAACATTAAAGTAACAGACGATTGGTGTTAGGATTTTCAAAAAAGTATAACTGGAATCGATCATTTTGATGAAAATGACGTCGTTAAACGCGTAACCGGCGCGTAACCGATATTACACACTATATTCTAATAGAGAATTTGTTTTTAATAATTGGTTTGAGATTCAATGCTAGTTTTCCCTCTTTACTGAAAATAGTTACACATGTACATGTAAGAAGTAAAATTCTCTTTATTTAATGCACACAGTGGGGAACGTTCTGGACCACGAATGACGTCAAAATATGTGTATTTTTCTGGTGCACATAATGTAAGGTGATCATTCGGCTTTTCCACTGAAAATTGAATTTTCTAACATACATTATGCTTGTTTTCGTGCGCTGATGCATACCTGCATGCCATCTTTATATTTTCATAATTTTCTTATCAAATGTGATATCATCGGGAAACTTGAAAATCATGATAATAAAATGTTACTTGTAAATATGGCAAGAATGGAAATATAATTGGGCAAAAAAGAAACTTAAATGTTTCCCCATCTACGACTTTTTGGGACAACCCTCGTACATTTTTATTTGTAAAAGAAAAAAGAAGACTAGTAAGAAAAGCATTAAAAATTTGGCAGCAGGAAACTTGTGTTTCATTTAGAGAAACAGGAGCGATAACGACACCAGGAATTATCTTCAAGGAAAACGAAGAATGGTGAGAAATGCATGTATAATGTGATAAAAAAAAACATACAAGATACATGTGTATTATTAAAATTTACAGAATGCTCTTGCATCTTCATTTTTGTATATTTTTATACCCAATACTTTCTCCCACAATGAGCCTGTAGTCTTCAATTGCGTTCATTTAAGAAATAGGTATCATTTTTTAAACATCTATCGGGCTTTTACATACGGGTTGGTCGCGAGATTAAATTCCGGCTTTATACATAGATGAATTAAATTTTGTCCCTACTCGTTTTTATTTCCCGATAGATGTTTTAAAATAATACCTTTACATTTGTGACTTATTCATATTTTATATTTGCCTGATTGTGACATTTAACGTGTTAAATGCATTATTTTTCAAACCCAACGTCATGTACACAATCCACTGAACGCATGTCGATCCTTTATGACGTCACTGAAAAATTACATCGAACGATTATCCATACGCACATCTATGACCTCTTGACCCTGTACCGGTATTTATACAGTTGTAGATTAACATTGCTTTCAGTAGTGTTACATAAAGGAAACATTTGTAAATGTAAATATAGTAATATAGACGCAACTGCTTTTGTCATGAGCGCAATTCATTTTTCACACTCGTATACATGTAGTAAATTATTTGCATGTATTTTCTCCTTTTGAATAAACAAAAGCAATTTTTCTTTATCATTACTTCACTGTTTCCAAAGATTTTTCCTGGATAAAGAAGGCACGCTCCCTATATTAGAAATGTATTAGTTTATTCCAAAATAACCTCCTTTACACTATATAATTTTCTCAAAGTCCAGAAAACATTTTTCGTCAGTGTATAGAGGGTTCTTAAATGAAATACTGAGAGGGAATTTTAATTTTACTAACATTACACGATTTGCCACAAAGATACTGATCCGTTTTGATGTTAGTTTGTTTGTTTGGTTTTTTTTTGGCATATTGGATTTTCAAAGATACATTAATAATGGCATTGTCGTATAATTTCACTTATTGAAATTAAATTTCATTGGAAAGCGAATAAACATTACCTTATTTAAAAAAAACCCGGTGTTAATTTCATAATATGAAGAATTCCATAAAATGATTTTTTTTTTTCATTTAAAGTAAATGGAAGTGAAAAAAAGCGATATTTGAATAATAAAAAAAAATCACAAACAAAACAAAAAGTCAGAGAAAAAATTAATAAAACTGTAATTCAAACATTCAAACAATCAAAGAGATAATTTTCTTATATTTATGCCCCCGTAAACGAAGTTTCGGGGGCATATAGTTTTGGTCGTGTCCGTCTGTCTGTCTGTCTCTCTGTCTGTTTCTCTGTTTGTCCGCATCTACTGATTTAGTGGAACTAAATTGAGCTTATTCCTTGTGACAAGACCTTTCTTTGGGTACCACCAAATTTGGCCTCTTGACCTTGGAGTTTGAGCCACTTTTACACGAAAATTTTAAACTTTTACTTTGGCCATATATTTTGAACAGTAGATACCAGGACATTTATACTTCGCATATGTATTATTTCTTGAACATCTTTCATTGGACACTAAGAATCTTGTCCCTTTGACCTTGATCTTGTAGATTTACGTACCTGTGGAAAAAATTTAACCTTGGTCATAACTTTTGAACTGTAAGGGATAGGGCTTTCATACTTCATATATATAATCTTTGTGAGAAGGCACTTCATCAGATAGCAAGCATTTTGACCCTTTGCGTTTGACATACTTTAAAAAAGAAAAGCTTGACCATGACTTTTAAAGGGTTAGGGCTAGTGCTTTCTTACTTTGCATATTCAATCCTTGTGACAAGAACTTTCATTTGATAACAAGAACTTTGACCTTTTTGACTTTGACCTTGGAGCTTAACCTAATTAAAAAAAATAACCTTAGCCATAACTTCTTAACGATTAGGGCTAGCTTATAGGGCTTCCATACACTACAAAACTATTCTATATGGCAAGACATTTTATTGTATACCAATTACCTTGACCTTTTGATCTTGGAGATTATTGTACTTATTGAAAAAAACTATAACGTTGGCCTACTTTAAAATTTCACAATTGTTTTCCAGTGAAAAAAACCCTAATTTTGGTACCAATTAATTAAATTTGCTTTTAAGAAAAGTTTAATCTTTGCTATGTTGCCATACGGGGGCATCAGTGTTTCACAAACACATCTGGTTTTTTATGAAAAATTAGGTGCTGGTCAAATGTTGGAAGAAAAAGTTCTGGTTATAACGAAATAAACCTTGAAAATGGTTGTAAAAGTGTAAGTATACACTTTCTTGTTTTATAGTCCAATTTGATTTTCATGGAACACCAAATTTATAAAGTCAATTATGTTTTTTAAACGAAGAATTTAAAAAGAATGTCCTTTCCAGTTAGGAACAATCCTCCATGAAATCGGACATGCCCTGGGTATGTGGCACGAGCAAAGCAGGCCTGACAGGGATAATCATATAACCATATTGGAAGATAACATAAAAAGCGGAAAGAAACACAATTTCCTGGTCAGACCTGGTGATACCTATGGAACACAATACGATTACGGATCAATCATGCATTACTCTGAGAGGGTGAAAACATTTTTCTTAAAAGCAAATATGGATAACAAATGTAATTATAGTTATTTCCTAACATAAAACATTATATTTAACTATACAAAATTTATGTATTTTTACTAAAGACCTTGGTTTTGTTATATTTTCTGTTTTTAATTCATATACATGCACGAACAATTCAATATTGAAGTATTACTTTTATATTTACTTTTTATACCATTTTTTTTTACAATTACTATACAATTGCTGAGGTTTTAACGTTGCAATCCTAAAAAAAGTATATTATAGTTTTGAAAAAAATAAAAATGAAACTTTTTTATTATAGTTAACTAATATAAGTAAACTATACTCAAGAATAGCATGAAAGAAGGATATGGAGATAACGAACAGTATTCAATCTCAACGTCCATTAAACAATATTCAAAATAAGAGCAGAGCAAACACGGACCTCCGAAACATCAGAGGTGGGATCAGGTGCCATGGAGGAGTGAGCATCCCCTGCCGACCGATCACACCCGCCGTGTGCTCGTTGTCATGATCAAAAGTGATATATGCTACGTTAATTTAACAGGCTTTTGCAAATAAAGGACAGAAAACAATCATCGCCAAACAAAGAGATTACGAAAAGACAATGGGACAAAGAACTGGTTTATCATTTAATGACATAAAGGCTATTAACTTCCACTATTGTCAGGGTAAGTCAGAAAGGTTGGACTTTCTTATAGCAGGATAATGCTTTTGTTTTCAAAAATGTACATATCTTATGCTGAAAATATTTTACATTGTATCTTTAATTTTCAAATAAATTTAGGCTGCGATTGAAATAAATAAATTTAATTAAAAGTTTAATTAATTTAAGAAGATATTCTATGTATAACGGCCAAATTTTGTACCAAATAAATGAATGGTCCGATATTTTTAAGCATGTGAACAATTCAAAGATGTTATCAAACAAAAATGCTACACAAAAGGGATTTTAAGAAAAATATCAATTATTGTCCAATTAATTGCACCATCAATTTTTCATTGTAGTCTATGGGCAGCGCATGTTGTTTAAAATAAAAAAAAACATATTGAATTTCAACCAATTGTCTTTGTGAAAATACGCATAAACTCTCTCTATATTTAACATCGAAATAAAACATATTATTTAAAACAGATTTTTTCAGAAGTTAAAAATTCATCAAGGACAGACAACTCTTCAAAAAACTTTTAAAATGCATAAGGACCGGCTCCTTACATGTAATCAGCTATGTGGGCCATTTTACAAATCGTTATTTAGCAATGCATTTTTGACTAGTTTAAGATTATTTAAACTGTTCAAAATACTTTTAATATACTTTAGTTACTTTAATTAATTAATCGCTTTATGTATTTATTTCAACCTACACGTATCTATTGATTTCCTATATCTGATAATTCAATACTATTAATTAACATATATTCACCTTTTAAAATCAATTATGCTGCATTATTCACCAGGGGGTGTTTTGTGGTTCTGTCTATTTTATTTATTTTGGTGGAATCAAATGGCATTGTTTCAATACATATTTCTAACCCAATTAACTTTATTATAATGCTGAAAAATAAGTAAATAAGAAGTGACTTTCCATTAAAGATATGAAACAAAAAAAAAAGCCAAAAACAAAACTGATGCAACTAAAAAAAATACTGGAGTCACAATACAATATTTCGCTAACATCCCTGTATACGATTGAATTAAGCACAGATGATACAAACAAAAAATTGATGCCTGGATTGGTATATATTTTTTGGCCTAATTTCATTGCAAATGGTGCAAAAAATAAATTTCCAAAATATAAAGAAATTGTAAACCTTCTGTGATGTTCAAAAGTCTGTCCTTATGAAACCATCCTTATTAATCTATACAAATATTTTCACTTCAAATTCAATTTTTGTGAAAATTTGAATAAAAAATTCAAAACTACGCGGTAAAAATTATTCATTTTACTCATTTAAACATAACCCGAGTTGTTATTTTCAAACATTTTGACAAAAGTTTGTTTGTATCATCTGTCCTTAAGTCTGAACAGCATTTATTCCTTTTCTAAAAGTTAAACGAAGACCTACCCTTACAGGAAATGAATCGAGTTTCCTTTGAAACATATACATGGGAAATTAAATTGTCAATATGAAAGTCATCTTTTCCAATTACTCTTGAACACCTATGTTTCAAGCATGAAACGTTGCTTCAAAAGATTAATAATTTTGTTTTTATTAAATGCAATCTCGAACTTTATAAAAAATCATGTGACTGTGTAATTGAGATACAGGAGAGTGAATTTGTCAGGAAGAAGTGTTGTCGAGTAATGTCACAGAAATGAGTTTCGTTAACTTTGAAACAAATGGAGTTTGCGAACAGATTTCAAGATCATAAGTCAATAATGCATTACAAAATTATGCATTAATGGTCTTTGGAGACCAAACAAAGACCTCCAAAACATCGGATCATGTGCCTTGGAAGAGTGGATAATCCCTGCTGACCGGTCACACCCGCCGTGTGTTCCTTCTCATGGTCGGGAAATAACGGAAAAATCCGTCGTCAATTTATTTTTTTAAAAATGGACTAACAAATATATGAAATATGTCAGTCAGCATTTGACCCAATGATTAATTGTATTTTCTGACAAGGTTATTGTATCGAAAATTCCATTTTGTGATAAAGCATATCCAAGTTTTGCAAACAATTTTGAAGGGAGCTGTTTTGGTGGATTAACATGGTCATCGTATAGAAATGGAGGGTACAGAGATCCCAGAAGTTGTGGACGTTGTAAGTGTCCGGAAGGGTGGACTGGAACCTATTGCCAGTATCTAAAGAAATCCAGTAAGTATTGGGATTCTCATTATGGTTAAACTTTTAGTTGATTAAAAAGTGGTCCCTCTTTATACATTTAAATACGTCTTTGTTAAAGTGATCTGTTGTTTGAAATTGTTATTTTTACTGAAAGATTTAATGATATAGTTTATTTAAAAAAATACAGCTAGTGATTTCCTGATTTTTGAGACTATACATGACATGAAGGAATAGAATATCTTCTTGTGGAATAATAAGGCATCTAGATTTCATGTTCAGTTAACTAATTGTCAAGTTTATTACATGTATCCTTTCAATACCATAACCGTAATCGTTAAAAAATACAATAAAAATAGAAAACGTTTGGATAAGACTCTAAGAAATACATTGTTTTTTTCTATTTAGCGACTGGATGTGGTTGCACGAATAGATCTGCCAAGTCATACTACAAATACCTGAACACCCCTGGCTACTTTAGACCTGAGATTTATCCAACTAATTCGGAATGTACCTGGAAAATTACGGTAAATGGTCCTAAAGTAAAGGGGCCAGGCAATATTTATCACCAAGGTGTGGCCGATGTCAAAATATCAATTAAAAACCTTTGGTCCCATTCCTAACAGAATGAAAAAAAAGTAAAAAGTCACTTGTAACTATGGATTATAGATTACTGTCAATCTGAAAAAGTTTTTTTTTAGTTAAATGAGGCATATGAGCCATGTACAAATGTAAAGTTTCAGAAAATGACGAATTTTTCAATGTACCTATGTACAAAATAGTCAGTCACTTGAATTGACAAATTCTCTCGATTGACCATATTTTTTTTCTAATTTGTATAGTACTTAAGAAAAAATATACCTCTACAGCAAAATCTAGACGATATACGATTTGAACATACATAGGTAATTTTAAGTTTTCACTCATCCACGACTGAGAACAAGTAAAGTCTGCCTTGTTTGATTTCAGCCCAGAGTTCAGATATGTAAACATTGTCATAGTTACAAAAATATGAATTTGTTTTGTAATATACAGTAGGGCATGGTGTAATAATGTGATGAATTAAAAAATCTTAATAAAACATTTTTTCGTGTGATGACATCTGATGTGTTCAAATCGATTTATTTCAGGCACCTGCAGGAAAACGAATCCGGTTTGAGTTTGTTTGGTACTTCATTTTAAGCTGTTACACACTGTGTTTGGACTTTGTAGAGGTTCGTTACAACAGTTTGTCTAACACAGGACCAAGGTAAATATACTGTAGACGTACTTTTTTCCACGGGGTAATAATTCCGCGGAATCTCAATTTCTGTTTAATCCGCGGGTAGAAAAGTACGCGGATTTCTTACACTGTCACTATATGTCGTGCATTTACATTAAGTACGCTTGGACAACTTTCCGCGGAAAATCTGTGACCGCGTTCATAGCGTAAATTAATACCACGCGCAAAAAGTAATTCTACAGTAATTACAATCCAAACATCCTTGTGAATATAACATATCAGGTACTTTTTAGGCCGTAAAAACAATGATGGTGCGATATAGTAAATCATTTTAGATCCAAAAAATATGAATTTAAACTAGTAGACTAAATGTTCACAGAACAATTAAAGGTTTTTCCACCTTTTTTTCTAAACGTTTTATATTTTACACTCTACAGTTAATTATCAGGCAAAAAGATTTTTAAATTAGCTTGAAGTTAGAAAAAATATATTTAAAAAAATATAATCTTGACCTTTGAAAATTTTCATAAGTCACATTGCAATTAACCCCATGCCTCTACGACTTCTAGTTTCAAATTTATATGGTATCATATTAAGTGCAAAGAAGTTAAAAGGCAATGACTCATATGAGGAGTCATCAAATCCTTTTGCATTGGTAGATTGAAGTTGTGTCTAAATACCTTGAAGACATTAATGAAGGTTTGGTGCATCTACGGCTTATGGTTTCAGAGAAATAGCGATAACAAGCTTTTTCGCACTAGGGGTTACAATTTTTAAAAGGGTCAATTTTAGGGGACATGAATGAAGACTACAAATCAATGATGCAAAGGCATAAAGTATATGTTGAAATACAAAAAAGATATAGAAAGACCCTAATTTTTCATTTTTGGAATAATCTTGACCTTTACATAAATTTTAAGGTCACGGAATCTTATGCAGTTAGTCCCAGGTCTCTACGAATTCTCGTTTTAAAAATTTTGAATTATTAGTAAAATTCAAAAACTTTCAGGGGCAATTACTCATTGAGGGATCACCCTTTTGATCAATCATTTTGGTCCCACCCTACTCCCGGGGATCATGATTTAAAAATTCTGAATCTACACTATTTGAGAAAGTTTCCATTATATCAATATGACTACATGTATACCTGACTTTCCTTTTCTTGAGATTTTTTTCCTAAATATTCCTAATGAAACTTTGATTCCCGGTGCGGGCCGCTCTACTCCCAGGGGTTATAATTTGAACATCTCTGAATCTATACTATGTGAGGAAGACTCCATATCAATTTCACTAATCATTGCATTGCTTTGATTTGCTGTTCATGAGAAGATTTTTAAAGAGATATTCTTATATACTCTGATGTAAAACTTATGTAAAAATCCCCCGACGTGGCCCAACCCTACCCTCAGCGGTTATCATTTGAACAAATATAAACTACTTGAGAATGATAAGAAAACCATATGACTAATTATAGCTTTGCTCTTCTTGAGAAAAGGATTTTAAAGAGTTATTCCTATACATTATTACAATGTATGTAAAACTTTTATCCCCAATTGTGGTGCCTCCCTTCCTCCAGTGGTCATCATTTGAACAAATCTTGAATTTACATTTTATTAAAAAAAGGTTTCATATTAGGTTCAACTTTTTGGGGCTAAGTAGTTCTTGAAAAAGATTTTGAAAGATTTATACTTATATATTCATATGTAACATTTTGATTACCCGTTGTGGCTCAATTCTCTCCCTACGGGTCATCTTTTGAACAAAATTGAGTCTACGCTACGCAAGGAAGGTTTCAATTATTTTGGCCCAGTTGTTCCTGAGATGGAGATTTTTGAAACATGCCACCAATTTCTCTTTATTTATTTATTATCTCCCCTTGAAAAGGGGCATATATGCAATGGTCTTTCATTAGAACAAACTTCCGAGTATTATCATAACCGGGTCAACCTCCTTCTGGACTCCAGCCTTAATTTTTAGGTCACCTGAGTAAACTCAGGTGACCTATTGCTATCACTTTTCGTCCGTCGTCGTTCGTCGTCCGTCGTTCGTCGTGCGTCGTGCGTCGTGCGTTAACATTTGAACATTTTCAGCTTCTTCTCTGAAACCACTGAACCAATTTCAACCAAATTTGGCACAAAGCATCTTTGGGTGAAGGGGAACAAAAATTGTGAATTTCATGGTCCTTGCCCCCCTGGGGCCTGGGGGGTGGGGCAAAAACCACTAAAATTAGTGCAATCTTTAAAAATCTTCTTCTTTACTCCTGGACATCAAGCAGTCAAACTGTTTGCATGATTGTAATCAGCATTGAGTCCTCTACAAAAATTGTGAAATTCATGGCCCCGGGGTCATGGGTTCTAGTGCTAGGGCGGGGCCAAATAAGTATATAGTGAAAATGCATTATTTCTTTGAAAATCTTCTTCTCTGCTCCTGGGTATTAAATAAACTAACTAAGTGCATAGTTATGATGAGCAAGAGTGCCTCTACCAAAATTGTGAATTTTATGGCCCCAGGGGCAGGGGTTCTGGTGTTAGGGCAGGGCTCTATAGATTATATAGTGAAATTACATGAATTCTTTGAAAATCTTCTTCTCTGCTCCTGGGTATTAAATAAACTAACTAAGTGCATAGTTATGATGAGCAAGAGTGCCTCTACCAAAATTGTGAATTTTATGGCCCCAGGGTCAGGGGTTCTGGTGTAAGGGGGGGTCTATAGATTATATAGTGAAAATACATGAATTCTTTGAAAATCTACTTCTCTGCTCCTGGGTATTAAATGATTTAAATAAGTGCATAGTTATGATGAGCAAGAGTGCCTCTACCAAAATTGTAAATTTTATGGATCCAGGGTCAGGGGTTCTGGTGTTAGGGCAGGGCTCTATAGATTATATAGTGAAAATACATGAATTCTTTGAAAATCTTCGTCTCTGCTCCTAGGAATGAAATAAACTAATTACATAGTTATGATGAGCAAGAATACCTCTTCCAAAATTGTGAATTTTATGGCCCTAGGGTCAGGGGTTCTAGTGATAGGGCGGGGCTCTATTGATTATATAGTGAAAATACATTGAATCTTTGAAAGTTTTCTTCTCTGCTCCTTGGTATTAAGCAGATGAACTACCTATATAGTTATGATGAGCAAGGGTACTAATCTTCCAGAATTGTGAATTTCAAGGCCCCAGGGTCAGGGGTACTATAAAGGAGGGGGGGCTGTACTTATATACTGAAACTGGATGAATTGTTCGAAATATGCTCCTTGGTATTAATCAAATATTTTTGAAAAGCAAGGGTGCCTTTTCAAAAATTGTGCAATGTGTGGATCTAGGCCTAAGGGTCAGGGGTTCATGTGTGATTGGGGCATTACTGATCATGCTGAATATTACTGATTACTTGAAATGCATTTTTGTTCCCCTACCCTGCCTATGGGTATTAAGTAAACAAACTAAACAACTGCTAAGTGTATTGTTATGATGATCAATGGGGCCTCTTTCACAATTGTGAATGCCATACCATCTGGATTAAAACATGAATCAAATTCAATCACTGAAAAGTTGTTGCATAATGCTCAGGTGACCTATAAGGCCCATGGGCCTCTTGTTGTTATATCCCAACCAGCAAAGGTTTAGGAAGGCAGAGTCCCGAATGACATTTGGCCGATCAGGCATATGGTTGTTATCCACCAGGATCTTATAAAATTTCTCAGTGAGAGGTAAACCAACTGAACAACTCTTTTACTCCTCTGTTGACCAGTGACCAATTATTTACGAAAGCTTTTATTTCACCCTCTTGGAAACTGGTTTGCCTGTATAAATACAACAGAGAAGACAACTCGTCGATTTTTTTTTATTATTTTAACAATCCATTTTATATTTTAAACAACTTCATTCAATACAACAAATTGTATAAGAAATATTTAACATTATAGAATATCTTTTCATGTAGAGAAAATAAGCCAACTAAAGCTTAATAATCTGAAACTTTACTTTTATTAAAATTATTCACGAAAGCTTGTAAAAATCTCTTACCTGTATGAATACAACAGAGTAGACAACTCGTCGGAATTTCTGACGAGAAATCTTTCCCCGTCGCATTCATGCTACTCATGTGTAAGAGTTCCGCCCTGACCATATTTGTTATTTTATGAAAATTTACAAACATCAATTTGCTACCTGAATTTTTGCTTACATTCCTGTACCTCTTTATATATATATATATATATATATATATATATATATATATATATATAATGTGCATCAAAAATGGGTACCGTCCTTGGAAACAATGACTTACAACAACCGATGTAAATTTGCGAAATTTCAACAATTATCACTAATTATGTTTTAATGACTTTAAGACACAGAGCAAAATTGATAAAAAATCATTTTGGGGATAGTTCATACTGCTTTAAATAAACATTTTATTGTAAAAAAGTTTAATACTCAAAGGTCACCATATAAATCATATTAACTAACTAAGAGTTTTTATAAATAATACATCTGAGATAAATATGACTTTAAAAAATAGTAAGTTTGCGAAAGTAGTGTTTTTAAGTCTTACTATCTCTTGGAAAGTTGTATCCTGTATTTGATTGGGAAATTCCACTTTACACCTTCACGTACTTTTCTTCTGTCAAATGTTTTAAATGCCTAAAGATGAAGATGCTGAATTCAAAAAAGTAAAATCTATCTTGAATTATCATTCTTAATTCAAAACAAAAATAATACACGTATATTGTAAAAATATTGTAAAAATGATGCATTAAGAAAAAAGCTATATAAAATTATCTTCTTTTAGTTGATATGAAACTGCAATCATGAATATACAATATTAAATAGCGACTTGTTTGTATGCAAAAATAATTACTTATAAAACTACTTTAAAGTATTTAGGAAAGAAACAAAATTGTCGCCCTGTTCATTAAATCTTGCCAGTGTTAGTTTTCATCATTTCTTTCAATGTGTTTTTCCTTTATTTCTTGTCATAAACCTTTTATTTATTTATTTCTCTTTCTTCTAAATATGTTTTATTTTTTTCT